AGGGGAGCATGGGAAGATGGGATCACACCTTTCCCCTAGCCTGTATGAATCTGCTCTGCCAGGCACCTTGATGCCAAAACCACTTACAAGATGATCACGCCACCAGTGTCCATCCCTCATTGACCCTGTTGTTATTAAGCACCACTGAGTCGGTTCTGACCCATAGTGACCCTGTATAGGGTTTACAAGGCTGTAAATCTTTACAGGAGCAGAAAGCCTCATCTTTCTCCCGTAGAAACCCTGGAAGTATCGAACTGCTGACCTTGAGGTTAGCAGCCTAACTCATACCAAAGATCCTTACTTAGCTTCTATTCTCAGCAAGCACTCAATCCACTTCTCTAACCTTTCCTCTCAAGTTCAAACTTGCTGGATTTTCACATGTGTCTGTTTCATTTGGTCTCTTGTATCTTTGCTGTAGAGGATCTGTGTAGTGTACCCACATAGTCCTCCATCTTGTCAGAAGTCCTCCTGTTGCTTTTTTAAATTTTTTTTTTATGTTTCTTATAATCTCCATCTCTGATGAAATTAACTATCTAAACTTACATGTTGTCTACTTTTTCCATTTGCTGTAGTTTAGCACTGCTGAGTCGATTTCAAATCACAGTGACCCTGTACAGAGTTTCTAAGGCTTTTTAAACCCTGTTGTTGTTGTTAAGTGCTGTCGAGTCAGTTCCAACCCATAGTGACCCTGCACAGGGTTTCTGAGGGTGTAAATTTTTACAGGAGCAGAAATCTTCATCTTTCTCCTGCGGAACAGCTGGTAGTTTCAAATTGCTGACCTTGAAGTTAGCAGCCCGATTCATAACCACTGTGCTACCAGAGAGCCTCATCTTTCAACTACTGTGTGGTTCACTTTCCAGTGCTTATTCTATGGAGCCACAATGCTATCAAACATGAAGACAGAATAACAGAAATTATACAAACTGGAAATACAAAAAGGAAAAAGGGCAAAACAGAATATTCAAGAGCTGTTGGTGTTAAGTGCTGTCAAGTCTGTTCCGACCCAGAGCGATCCTATAAAGGACTTCCAAGGAGCAGCTGGAAAACTGCCAGCCTTTCAGTTCAAACCAACTTTGTAGTCCAGCACATTAACCCACAGCGCCACACCAAGACTCCCCAAGAGCTAGGGGAAACATCAAATGGTATAATATAAATGTAATTAGAAGCCCAGAAGGACAAAAGGAAGCAAATAGGACCAAAAAATTATTTGTAGAAATAACGTGTGAAATTATACAAATTTAAAAACGTAGTAGCCAAAATAATAAAAAAATTCATAGGTGATTATGTCAAAGTTCTTAAGATATCTTAAAGATATAAAGATATCTTTAAGAGATAAAAGTACCTCAAAAGGAAAAAACTAATAGATTTGACATCACAATTAAAATTCTATATAAAAAAAGGGATACCATAAACAATTCTTAAAGATAGGGGATGTAAACAATGTTTGCAACATATGAGGAAGCTTCAAAAATTTCATGGAAAAATTAAATTACTTTTTAATTCCATTTTCCATGAACTTTTTGAAGTCCCCTCTTATGTAACAGAAACAAGAATATACCTTAAAAAGGAGAAAATGACAAATAGATAAGTGAATAAAAGTACTATTATAATGTAAGCTTCACATGGATATGAATTTTCATTTATTTTGTTCATTGCTGGAGATTGCATTATAGAATTTTGCAAGACCAATGACTTCTTCATTGCAAATACATTTCTAAGAAACACACAAAACAACTATACACATGGACCTCACCAGATGGAATACAGATATAAAACTGACTACATGTGTGGAAAGAGACCGTGGAAAAGTTCCGTATCATCAGCCAAAACAAGTCAACAGTAGACTGTGGAATAAGTTCTGGCTGGAGCTGAAGAAAATTAAATCCACGAAAGCCAAAATCTGACCTTAAGCATACCCCACCTGAATTCAGAAATCATCTCAAGAAAAGATTTGATGTACTAATGACCAATGACCAAAAGAGGTGTGGGATGACATCAAGATTGTCATACAGTAAGAAAGCAAAAGCTCATTAAGACAAGAAAGATATAAAACATCAAAATGGATGCCAGAAGAGATTCTGAAACTTGATCTCCAGCGTAGAGATGTTAAAGGAAATGGAAGAAATGAGGAAGTAAAAAAGCTGAACTGAAAATTTCACAGGATATCTCTTGAAGACAAAATAAAAAATTATAATAAAATGTGCAAGGACCAAGAATCGGAAAACTAAAAGGGAAGAACACGCTCAGCATTTCTCAAGTTGAAAGAACTGAAGAAAAATTCAAGCCTTGACTTGCCACATTGAAGGATTCTCTGGGCAAATTATTGACTGATGCAAAATGCATGAAAAGAATATGGAAGGGATACACAGAGTCACTGTACAAAAGGAAATGATTGATGTTCATTCATTTCAAGAGATAGCATTTGATCAAGAGCCAATGATACTGAAGGAAAAAGTCCAAGGTGCGCTGAAGGCTTTGGGAAAGAAGATTCCATGAACTGATGGAGCAATAATTGAAATGTTTCAACAAACTGATGCAGTACTGGAGGCATTCACTCATCTATGCTAAGAAATTTGGAAGACCAATTAAATGGAAGAGGTCCATATTTGTGCCCATTCCCAAAAGAGGTGACCCAACAGAATGTGGAAATCATTGGACAATATCAGTAATATCATTATTATCGCATGCAAGTAAAATTTTCTTAAAGATAATTTTAAAATGGTTACAACAGTACATTGACAGGGAACTGCCAGATGTTCAAGCCAGATTCAGATGTGGACACAGGATGAGGGCTATCACTGATGATTCCAAATGGATCTTGGCTGAAAGCAGAGAATACCAGAAAGATGTTTACCTGTGCTTTACTGACTATGCAAAGGTTTTCAATTATGTGGATTATGACAAACTATGGAGAGGACTGCAGAGAATGAGTATTTCAGAACATTAACTGTGCTCATAAGGAACCTGTACTCATAAGGAACTGCCAAAAGGCAGTTGTTTGAAAACAATCAATGAATACCAAATGCTTTAAAATTAGGAAAGGTGTGAGCCAGGATTATATTCTTTCACCATAAATTATTCAATCTGTATGCTGAGCATAAATGTGAGAAACTGGGTTATATGAAGAACATGGCATTGGGAGGATCATTAACAATTGCAATGCACAGATGATACAACTTTGCTTGCTGAAAGCGAAGGGGACTTAAAGTATATACTGATGAAGATAAAAAACCACAGCCTTCAGTATGGGCTACACCTCAATGTAAAGAAAGCAAAAATCCTCACCACTGGACAAATAAAAATAACATCATGATAAATGGAAAAAAAGATTGAAGTTGTCAAGGACTTAATTTTGCTTGGAACAGTCATCAATACTCATGGAAGCAGCAGTCAAGAAATCAATCCTGTTGCACTGGGCAGATCTGCTGCACAAAACCTCTTTATAGTGTTGAAGAGCAAAGAAGTCTGTTTGGGGACTAAGGTGCTCCTGGCCCAAGTCATGGTATTTTCAATAGCTTTATATACATGTGAAAGTTGGACAATGAACGAGGAAGACCGTAAAAGAACTGGTGCATTTGAGTTATGGTATTGGAGGAGAATATTAAAAAAGTACCATGGACTGTCAAAAGAATAAACAAAGCTGTGCTGGAAGAAGTATAGTCAGTATGCTCCCTAGAAGCCAGGATGGGCTGACTTTGTTTCTCATACTTCAGAAATATTGTCACTAGGGCTCATTCCCTGGAGAAGGACATCATGGTAGGTAAAGTGGAGGGTCAGTAAAAAAGAAAGACCCACAACGAGATGGACTGGCGCAGTGGCAGCAGCAATGGGCTCAAGAGTAGCGATGACATGAGGTTGGCACAGGGCCAGGAACTGTTTTGTTCGGTTGCGCATAAGGTCTCTATGAGTCAGTACCGACTCGATGGCACTAACGACAACAAATCTCAGTGTTTAGAACAGTGACTGGCAAACTGACTCTTACTATTTGTTGAATTTGTTATTTAAAGCCATTCAGAACAGAAGTAAAACCAATACTTATATATGACAAGGTCTTCATATAAGTGTTGCTATTGTTGTTGAACGCTGTCGAGTCAGTTCTGACTCATAGCAATCCTGGGTAGGGTTTCTAAGGCTGTAATTCTTTGTGGGAACAGAAAGCCTCTTCTTTCTCCCTAGGAGTGGCTGGTGGACTCAGGCTTGAATCGCTGACTCTGTGGTTCGCAATCCAGTGTTTATCCTTCAAAGCCACCATGCCCCCTACCCTATTAGTACTGTATGTAAGAGCAAAAAGTTAGAAATAATTTAAATAAATATCAATAAGGTAAGTGTTTAATGGAGTATGGAGTATGGCACACCCATTCTATAGAATACCGTTGTTGTTAAGTGCCACTAAGTTGGTTCCGACTCACAGCAACCCTATATAGGGTTTCCAAGGCTGTTAACCTTTGCAGAAGCTGAAACCCTCATCTTTCTCCCACTGAGCGGCTGGTGGGCTTGAACCAGTAACCTTGTAGTTTACAGTCCGGTGCTTATACTACAAAGTCACCACGCTCCCCTATGGAATATTATAATAGGCAAATTCTTAAAATGTAGATTTATATGTAGTAACATGAAAAGTACAATGTGTTGCCCTTTTTTTTTAAATAGTCAAAAAGGTGCTAAAACTGTAAAAACTGATGAGGAACTGGATACTTGCACGTTGCCAAAGTAGCCCACATATTTCTTATATCTAGGTTAATATTTTTATAAAATAGGCATCAGGCAGTAATGACCTTAATCCATTGACCCAAACTAGCATTACTAATAGTGAGATTACCAAATATTATTGCTTCCTGAATGAAGCTGTGCTCCTATATGTACATATAACTTACAGAAACAGGAAAATTAAAGTCCAAACCTGGCTGGCTCTAGAGGAGAGAACTGGAATTGGGGAAATGGGTATAGACAGGGCAAAAAAGTCTACACAGAAGCATAACAGAATATGTGGATGGTGCACCAACCTTAACAAACTCCACTGCTCTTGGAGAAAAATCACAGGCATAGGCAAAAATGTTCAGATCTTCTTCTAAAAGTGGAAATAAACAGTTCCCAACCCCACAACCAGCTTCCAGCATAGTCAATTTTTGATCTGCAAACTGGGGAAGAGAAGTCAAAGTTATAACACATTACCACGTGCATAGTAAAGAAACAAACATAAGAGACAGGTCTGCACGCAGGGTGGACAATAAACAAGTGCACTAATAATCAAAAGATATTACTGGTGCCTCACTTGCCATCACACGATTCAAATACTGCATAGTTTAGCGTGGAATTAAGAACAGCATAATGACTAATAGAACAGACTCTGGAGCTAACTTGCCTACATTCAAATCCCAGCTCATCCATTCCCCACTTCCCCCTCCCCTGCCCCCATCTCTAGTCTTGAGCAAAGCACTTAAGCATTTTTGTGTCTCAATTTCATCTACAAGTGGGGATTATAATACCTACTTTACAGAGTTATTGTAAGGCATAAATTAGAGAACATATATAAGGTCCTTAGAAAAGGGCCATGGTAAATGTTCATTAACATTGACCATTATTCTTAATCTGACACTGATGTCACTCTATGAATTATATGTTTATAATTTTCAGTATAACTTTAAATAGAAAATGCCTATTAAAGTTCCTTCTCCTGTGTTTATACATCCCAGAAACTGCTGAAACTACTTGACACCAAACAATGTTTCTCTTTCAATGTATAAAGCATTTTAATAAGCTTCATAAATTCTCTGCTTCACATTCTTCATAGGAATCAAATAAAACATCCCTTTCTATACATTTAAAATGGAGAAGAACTCCAATAAGATGCAAAAGCTTACCTCTCTACATGATCTTAGCTCCTCAAACTCTCTGGTGGTCCAGTGTCTATCTTTGAAGAAATTAGTACTATTTCTTTTGTAAAAAAGGTCCCAATTCTTCTGAGCTTCTTTTTCCAGTTTTTGCTGTTTAAAATCAGACACCAAAGTTTGGTCTCTTTTGAGTTTCTCATCTTCTTCAGAGCTGAGAATCCTTACTTGTAGTCCTTTCCTTTGCAGAGATGCCATCTCAGAAGGTAACAGTCCTGCACTTAGCCCTGCTGAAGAATCTCCATGCATTTACAGTCCAAAAAATTCATACTAACACTGTGGATTTAACGTCTCAGCTGTGTTTCACCATGTCAGATTTGAGTCTCAGGCAGAATGGACTGTTTTTGTACAAAAAATAATCAGATTCTGGTTAGTGTTTCAAGTTTCTGAAGACGTTAGGTTCAATTCATTAAACATTTACCTAATGTTGACTCTCCACAAAATTCTGCCTGCTACAGGAGAGGTCACAATGGCATCTACCACTTGCTTGTTGTAGTATCCCCAATTCTTAGAACTCAGTGATGAGAATTAGGGCACACCTTACACTGATAGGGTCTTATTACCGTAACTAAAAAAATCATATTCCCAAAAGGAATTACATCCAATGGCATAAAAATCCACTGCCATTGAGGAGATTCCAACTCACAAGAGGCGACTCTACACAAGAGTAAACTGTTCTATAGGTTTCCAAGGTTATCTTTACTGTGGGATAATGCAGTTTAAACTGCAAGGTCAGTGGTTGCTATGAGTCAAAACCAACTCAAGGAATTTAGTAACAATCTTTACAGAAACAGACTGACATCTTTCTCCTGTGGAGTGGTTGGTGGGTTCCAAGCACTGGCTGTTCATTTAGCAGAGCTCCTCCACAGGCATAAAAGGATTCCACCACTTACTTTGGGGGATCCCATTTAATCCCTAGCAAAGACTAAGACACAGTCCCTAATTTAAGAGGGCTTACATTCAAAACTAATACCACAAGCCTTTATAATTTAGAAAAAGGAACTTCCAAAACATAAGTGAGAAACCTTGGGAAGAAAATGCTCATTATTTTTCATTGTCCGTGAAGGGAACAATTTAAAAACAATCACAGTGCACGAACAGGATTAGAATGGACACCTGCCACACCGAAGTGAGGTCATCTTTCTCAAAGTCTGCAAGATAAAAGACTCGGTTTTGCCGGGGGCGTAGGAGCTAAGCCTGGGTGGCCTGAGTCCCTGACTGCACTTACAAGAGGCTGTCGTGTGAACCAGTGAGGATTCGCTTCCCAGGGACTGAAGCCTTCACACCCCATCAGGGTGCTAAAGTCACGAAAAGATTTATGACGTCTGATGGGGAGTTGGGGGGGAGGGGCTTCCTTAGTGTCTCTCTGAGAACACTCTGGATAAACTAGGCCCCTGCGGAGCCCTAGGGTCTGCAGAGCACAGGCCAGTCCGCCGTGCTCTGGGACTCATCTTTATTCGTTCCTAATTCACCTGTAGGGGCAGGGCCTGATGTACTCACCCCTTAACCAAGCCCAGCCCTCAGAAGCAGAATTTGGGAGCAGCAGCGGGGAACCTAGAGATTGGACGCTACAACTTCGGAGCCCTGGAACCTGGGAGTCTCTGCAAAGAAGTCTTTTGCCATGGTACCACCCCCGCGACTTCCGCCACGAACCCGGAAGCCCCTCCTCGACGCCGGAAGTCCCTCGACCTCACTTCCTCAGAGTTTTCCTCCTCCCCGACGCGGAGGAGGGGACTTGGTTCCGGCCCCTGGTGGGCGCCGGCTTAACTCTTCTTGCTCTCCGGAGTGGTGTCCCGGGAGCACCGCTCTCCCGGACGCCGGCGCCGGAAGCTCGGGTCGCGGCCGCTCCAGGAGAGCGCCGGGCCAGGCGATAGGCCCGCGCGGGGCCATGAACGGGACCGTGAACCCGCTGCTGGATCGCGAGGAGCACTGCCTGCGGCTCGGGGAGAGCTTCGAGAAGCGACCGCGGGCTTCCTTTCACACCATTCGCTGTAAGTCAGCTCTCCCCACGACCACCTTCGGCTTCCCCAGTTTCTCTTGCTTGGCCTCCAAAAGTCCAGGGAAACCACTGCGTCTTCTCTTACCCCCACATCCTGCGGGACTTTGGCTTTTTTCTTTTTCCCGATTCACTCTTCCCAAACCAAACCCTTCCTTATTACCAACCATCCTTCTGCCTCGTAGTCCCGAACTCTTCCTCCGAACATCGTAGACCTTTTTGTCTTTTCATCTCTGTGCCCAACCTTTAAGTCACAACTCTCCTCTCTCCATTCCCGAAAGACTGTGGCCAGACATCAGACCCCAGTTCTCTCTAATCCTCTCCTGTTTCTGATTCTCCCACCTAGAGTGTTCACGTTTTGTAAAGGACTGCCGGTTTACGAGGCAGTCAGCTCCGGTGGAGATTTTCAGCCTGGAAAACCCTACCACCTCTCTAGCTAGCTAGGGTCATTATGAGTCAGAGTCAACTATCGATGGCTGTGGGTTTGGTTCGGTTTGGCGCGTTTATGACCCGCATCCCCTCTCCGCCTTCTCTCTCCATTCTCTTCTCCCGTTTTCCTCTCCCGTCTTGGTTCTGGACACCCTGACCCGGCTCCTCTTCTTCTCACTGCCCCAAAGATCTGCATCCTCTCCGCACCCCATCGGTGCCCTCCTCTTGCAGCTTTTCGTGCCGCGTTTGACTTTGATGCGTTTTGAGGTCACCAACAATGACTTTTCCTCTGTATCAAGTGCTTTGTGGGTGACGAATAAAATTAGAACTTAGAACGTGTGAGCCTGGTATAGGTTGATCAATGTTTGGAAACAGAAGACAGCATGGGTATAAATGTCAAAATAGTCATTACGCAGGATCGTCTTTTTTTCTACGTGATTATAGACTCTGTGGAGGGAGTATGCTGCCACGTTAAGTCCTGAGTCAAGATTTGGTTTTAGAAATTGGCTGACTGAGCGTCCCTCTGTGATTCATAGGCTCCTGGTTTCCCGTCTTGGTAGTGCTAAGACTTGTTTTTGTCAGAGGCGCTAACAAACGTGACTCAACACAGAGGAAGAGGGCGTGGTAGACAATGAAGTTCCATCTTTATGTGGTCATTTGCCATTACTCTGCTTTCCTACTGACAGCAGGTGCAGTTCCTGAACAGTTTACTAAGTTGATGTTTTCACGGAGTAAAGGGGAATGTGGGATTTAAATGAACCGATTCTTAATCACTTGCCCTGCAGTGTGAGGTAGGTATGTAGTAAAAAGGAGTTAAGATGGCTATTCATGTTATACTTAAACTGCAATTCCAAAATGTATGCAGGATAACTTTTGGAGATAGTTCAGCTATCTTTGGACGTCTTTGGATTGTCAATAATATCTTTGTCAAAGCTGTGGAGTTTGAGTGTGGCAAATCCGAATTTTGACAGTTCCTGTGTAGAATGAAATCAGTTGGGATGTTTGTATAGGGCTTTACAATCGCAGAGTCTCTTTCATATGATCTGTTGCTTTGGATCCCAGCAACCCGAGAAAAGTGCCCAGTAATGCAGCATTAATGTCCATCTATCTCTTAGGAGAAGGGAGTAACTTTGCTTAGTAAAATGTCGTTTAAATTCTAACTTTTTTCTTCAAATAATCCAAAAGGGGTGGGAGTAAAAGTATGTGGCGCTGTAAATAAAATAAGATTACCCCTGCATTGGTAACTATTGAATCTGTCCATAGGGGTTCACTGTAGTAGTAATGAAATAGAATCTCAGAATTACTTTTATCTGCATTTATTTGTCTGAGTAGTTATAGAAAAATCCTTACACAAGAATGCACTGGAAGCCCTTAGTATAAGTAATTTAGTAGATAAATGCTTTTTCCTTTCCATTTAGATGATTTTAAGCCAGCATCTATAGACACTTCCTGTGAAGGAGAGCTTCAGGTTGGCAAAGGAGATGAAGTCACAATTACACTGCCACATATCCCCGTAAGTTTACTCCACTGTTGTTGTTTTGTAAATAGAGGATCACAGTGAATCCTTATATTTTGTTATAATTTTAATTTCCTGCTCTTAATAAATTTTGAGATTTTTCAAATGCCAACATAAAGGGAAAGGAATTTAGAGGGGTGGGGGATTAGATTCATGCTTCCAAGTGCTTGATTTAAATGATTTTTTGGCACCCAGTTCCTCCTTCCACCCCTCCCAATCTGCTGCAAAGTGAATGATGTTCGTCTCTGGACACCTAATCTCATTACACATGCATAACTTTCTTCTAAGGAAGACTGATGGTGCTGTAGGATAAACCCTGTTCTGCTAACCACAAGGTCAGCAGTTAAATCCACCAGCAGCTCTGTGGGAGAAAGATGAGGCAGTCTGCTCCCATAAAGATTTATAGTCTTAGAAACCCTGTACAGGGTCAATGTGAATCGAATTGACTTGATGGCAGTGAGTTGAGTTAGTGAGCAAGTGAGCTTTCTTCTAGGCAACACAGAAGAGAAGTCCTAAGGCCCTGTGTAGGAGTACAAGGCAGTCAAGCTGGAAATTTAGGTGTGCTGGAGCCAGGCTGATGTCTTTTAGGTATCTGACTTGGGACCAGGCTCATAGCCTCAGACTTAAGCAGAGATCCAGGCCGTGAGCTGCTTTGAAGGATGAGGAACCCAGTTGAAAGCGGGCTTGAGAACCCTTGAAGAGAAAGGCTTTGTGAAACTGCCTGAACCTGAAGGATCAGAGAAAATGCTCTTAATGAACCTGTGTTATTGCATGCTGTAGCCCTGTGCTGGAAGATAAGTTCTTGGTAGCTGACAACTGCAAGACGTGGAATGCTTTGCACTGGAGAACAATTATTTGCTTGCGATTCTGTTTCATTACTTGTTGCCTGGAGCAAGTTACATCACCTCCCTTTGGACCTTAGTTTCCCAAATGTAAAATGAAGGGGTTGGATAAAAGATCCCCAAGGTCTCTTCCCATTGTGAATTTTTTACTGTGTAAATAAGAAGTCAAGGAGTTAAGCTGTTCTTGATTCTAAACAAGAGAGTCTCTTCTGTATTCAGTATTAAACAAATATTGGACTCGTACTGTGTTCCTGGCTCAGCACTAGGGCTGGGAAAACAATTGTAAACAAACGTTTTTCGCCCTTTGGCGTTATGATTTGGAGTTTAAATAAATACAAGAAAAAATACCACTTATTGTAAATAGTCTGGGAAGACATCCCTAAGGAGGTAACCTTTGAGTAGATCTGAAGGTTGGGCAATTAAAGTGAGGGAGAGAGAGGGGATGTTGCAGGCAGTAGATGAGTTTTTGTCAAAGCCCTAGCTAGGCAAGGAGGAACTTGGAGATGGGAGAGACCAGCTGCCTTCAACTCTGGCATCCACAAGGCCTAGGGGTGATTGGTGCAGGGAGAGAACTTAGGAAGGACCAGGTAGCTGCTTTCAGGATTTTGGGTTTTGGCTTAGAGCAATTGAAGGGTTTAGGCAGGTGAGTGACATGATGTATTTACTCTTTGCTAGTCTATACATATGTAGCAGCATCGATGGACTCAAGTGTGGTAACAGTAGTGAAGTTGGCCCAGGATCGGGCAGTGTTTCGTTCTGCTGTGCATAAGGTCGCTGTGAGTCGGTATTGACTCGATGGCACCTAACAACAACAGTCTGTGGAGAGTTAAGCACTGGACTGCTAACCAAAAGGTCTGCAGTTCAAACCCACTAGCAGCTCTTGAGAAGCCCTATACTGGGTCGTTATGAGTCAGAACTAACTCTATGGCACATAACAATAGTCGTCTACGCAAAGAAGTTGGGAAGGCAAACACCTGGCCAACAGACTAGAATCCATATTTGTGCCCATTTCAAAAGAGAGGTTATCCAAAGGATATGGAGAATATCAAGCAACATGATTAATATTACATACAAGAGAAATTACGCCAAAGATTTATCAAAAAGAGATGCAGCAGTACATTGACAGGAAACAAATTCAAGCTGGATTCAAAAGAGGGCATTTAGCAAGAGATATCATTGTTGTTATCAAATGGATCTTGGCTGGAAAGCAGAGAATACCAGAAAGATGTTTGTTGTTAAGTGCTATCAAATTGATTCCACCTCATAGTGACCCTGTATAAGGTTTCCAGAGAACAGCTGGTGAGGTTGAAGCACCAACCTTTGGTTAGCAGTCCAGTGCTTATCCTATAATACCACGCCAGGACTCCAGAGAGATGTTTACTTATGTTTTACTGACTATGCAAATGCAATTGACTATTGATTATAACTAACTATGGATAACATTGAATGGAAATTCTAGAACACTTAATTGTGTTACCATGGAACCTGTACATAGACCTAGAGGCATTTGTTCAGACAGAACAAAGGGATAGATACTGCATGGTTTAAAATCAGGAAAGGTATGTGTCAGGGTTGTATCCTTTAACCATACTTATTCATTGTGTTACTTGAGAAAATAATCTAAGAAGCTACACTATATGAAGAAGAGTACATTAGGATTGGAAGAAGACTTAGTAACAACCTACAATATGTAAATGACACAACTTGCTGACTGAAGGTGAAGAGGACTTGATGAAGATCAAAGACTACTTCAGTATGGATTACACCTCAACAAAAAGAAAACAACAGTCCTCACAATTAGACCAATAAGCAACATCATGATAAATGGAGATAGATTGATGTTGTCAAGGATTTCATTTTACTTAGATCCACAATCAACGCTCATGGGGGAAGCAGGAGTAAAGAAATCAAAGCATTTGAGCAAATTTGTTGCAAAAGACCTCTTTAAACTGTTAGGAAGCAAAAATGTTACCTTGACAATTAATGTATGCTTGACACATGGAATGGTATTTTCAGTCATGTCATATGTATGGACTGTAAAAATGGAAGACTGAAGAATTGATGCCTTTGAATTATGGTGTTGGTTATGAGTACTGAATATATCATGGACTGCCAGAAGGACAAACAGATCTCTCTTGTTTGCTCCTTACAAGTGGGCAAGATGAAACTTCATCTCACATACTTTGGACATGTTCTCAGGAGGGACCAGCCCCTGGAGAAGGACATCATGCTTGGTAAAGTAGAGGGTCAGTGAAAAAGGGGGAGATTCTCAATGAAATGGATTTACACGGTGGCTGCAACAATGGGCTCAAACATAATGATAGTGAGGAGAGTGCAGGACTGGGCAGTGCTTCATGCTGCTGTACAATCAGTAATAACCCTCAGGATAATGACCAGCCCTTAGAGGATGCTCTTTTTAGCTACTTAGCATGAGTGAGAAACACCATACTCTTCAAATTACAAGGGAACATGAGCTTCAAAAAGTTCATGGGGGAAAAATAATCCATTATCTTTCTATTTTTTCACAAACATTCTGAACAGCCCCATCTTATGGTGATCACTCCCACAGTGACAAGTTTTCCGTGTGAATCCAAGTAATAGCTAATTTATTTTTCTTAGCTCACACTTTTCTATTATTTGTAACATTTTCCCAATCCCCAGAAAATGTCCAATAATTCAAAGTATTTACGTTACCTTTCTTGATTTCGTAGAACCAGTTGCACCAACATGATTCTTTCTATATCCTGTCTCCTTTTTTTTTACCTGGGAAATCAAGAAGAGTTAAAATAGAAATCAGTTTCTTCTGATCTTTTTGAGTATTTTCAATAAAAGCCATCATCAGAAAGTAAATGCAGTTTTAATATTTATAAATGCTATGTTTCACCTGTGTTTTAGTTGATCATCTCTTACTTTTGTGGTAAATAGGGATCCACACCACCAATGACTGTGTTCAAAGGGAATAAGCGGCCTTATCAGAAAGACTGTGTGCTCATTATTAATCATGACACTGGTGAATATGTGCTGGAAAAACTCAGTAGCAGCATTCAGGTCAAGAAAACAAGGTATGTGAATAACTGGACACAGACGTCTGTGATATTTCTATACATTTATATCATCTATTTAGTTATATAAGGACATGGTGTTCTGCTTACTCTTAGGAGGTACTCTATCAACACTCCAGCTACATAATCTAAGACAATCAGTAAAATGTATCTTCAAACGCAATAAAAAGCTGTTTTTAAGAGTGGGCTGTGGGAACTGTTTATAGCTGTTCGGGTAAGGGATATAGTTTATAATTAAACCCATTTCACGATTGTTCATGTAGTACCATCTAAAGGGTAAGATTTAACCACCTAAAAGGGTAAGAATTAACTTTGCAGACTTATAAAATAATTGAAGAACATATTTTTTATTTGGAGCAAATAGTTTGCATTTGGCTACCAACTGGTGTGGCACTATAGGATAAGCTCTGGACTGCAAGATCAGTTTGAACCACAAGGTGGACTATTCAAACACACCATCCAATCCTCAGAAATCCTACACAGGGTCACTATGAGCTGGAACTGTCTCAGTGGCACTTAACAATAACAGCATCAACAGTCAACTGAAAAGCTGGCAGTTTGAATCCACCCTGCAACACTATAAGAAAGAGCTGGGGATCAACCTCCATTGGATTGAAACAACTGAAACCAAGCCGGTTGCTGTCGAGTCCATTCCAACTCCCACCATCCCTTGTGTTACAAAGTAGAAATGCTCCATAGTGTTTTCAGGGCTATGATCTTTCCAGAAGTAGCTCACGACACCTTTCTTTAAATCTGAGTGGGTTGGAACTGCCTACTTTTAGGTTAGTACTCACTGCCATCATCAAGTTGCTCATAGCAACCCTGTACAGGGTTTCCAGGGCTGTAAATGTCTATGGAAGCAGAAAGCCTCATGTTTCTCGTGCCTTGCAGCTGGTACATTTGAACAGCCGACCCCTGGTTACTAGCCAGTGTGTATCTTACAGAAACCATCTGCACCACCCAGGGAGCTTTTTGTAAGATGACAGCCATTCAGAACCCTCTGGAGTGCAGATCTTCACTGATAACACAGGGTGTCACCATAAGTCAGAAGCGACCCAGTGACACTTGGTATTGGAAATGTGAAATTCGCAGACTTCTAACTAGAAAATAATCATTGAAGAATACATTCTTTATTAGGGTGAAAACATGTTTTTGTTTTTGTTTTTTTAACAAAATACATTGAAGACCACTGTAATACCAAAACAAAGCTTTGCTTATTTTCTTGAATAGTGAACTGTCTTTACTATATAATTCATCAGGCATTCTATGTCTGGTTTAAAGTCAGATTTTGTTTGAAAGTAGAAATTCAGCCTATAATTAGAAGTAAACAAGTATTTCTATTGTAACATTATAATACAGTGATTACTGTAAGGAATGGTTTTAAGCCTGATTTTTTTTTTTTTTGTCTGTGTCTCCTTAAGCCATTTTTCTTCATTTACTCATTCCACAAAAAATAAAAATAGCTACTTATTGAGCAATTATCCTATGCTAGGCACTGTACTAGATATTTTGCATGCATTATCATTCCAAATTTTTACAAGTTACTTGTTGAAAGGTGCTTCTCATAAAAACAAAACAAAACATTTCTCAGGTTTCTTAAGAGTCGAAATTGATGCAATGGCAGTGGGTTTTTGGTTTTTTTTGTTGTTAATTTAAGCATCTCTTTATATAACATGATATACCCTCTAATTTTGTGTTCAGTACCTCCCTACTAAATTAGATATAAAATATTCATTAATCCAGTCATTTAAATATTTTAATAGAGCTAGTTTATGAAGATTTAATAACTGAAGTAAATATTCATCCCTCCATTTTTAATTAAGAATTTAGCATGTTGGATCAAAAGAGTAGTACACTTACATGTGGAGTCCTGGTGTGGCACTGCAGGATAATGCACTGGACTGCAAGGTCAGTTTGAATCACAAGGTCGGTGATTCAAACCCACTATCCGCTTCTTGGAAACCCTATACAGGGTTGCTATGGGTCTGAACTGACTCGACAACACTTAACGGCAATAACAAAACACCTATATATGGGAAGTGTAGTGGCTCTATAGATAGGCATTGGACTACAAACCACAAGGCCAGTGGTTTGAGCCCCTCCAGAGGCTCCACAGGAGAAAGATGAGGCTTTCTTCTCCCGCAAAGATTTACAGCCCCAGAAACCCTATACATTGTCTCTATGAGTCGGAACCAATACCTGTATATTGGTGTGGAGCAATGCTTATGTACTGGTGCATTATCTTTACACTAACTTTTTTTTCCTCATAGTTTTACATTGTAACTATACATATGTAACATGTTTCCACTTCATTATTTTTTTACAAGCATAATTCATTTCTCTTACAATAGAACAGTCAAGATGAAGGATTCAGAGGTTATGATTTTGCTAAATCCTAGTAGTGCAATTGATGTCTAACCCAGACCTCTGACTCCTGCCCTGGGTATCATTATCTCCAGGGAGCCCCAAGGAGCCACTGCGATTTCTCCAATACTTGGTTGTTGTGGTCTCTTCTCTTACTCTGTAGTCATCTGGGGACCAGCAGGACCCCATCATCTGGTGGTATCTTACTGGAAACACAAAATCTCAGGGCCTTCCACGTAAGAGCCCACATTTTCATAAACTCCCTAGGTGGTGTGTGTGCTGGGCTAGTCCATTTACAAAAGTACATTTTAATAGATAAAATTTTCTGAATTTGAGGTGATACTCTCTGCTTGAATTTACAAATTAGTTAGTGTTCCAGGAGCTAATTTCATTTAGGAAATGTACATGTGATTGTAACCCTGTATTGCAAAGAAGAAAAGTCATTTTCAGTGAGTAAAATGAGTTGTCATAATCCATTGCATCCTAAAAACCTGCTTTATCTTTTACCTGCTGTCTTATAAAACGTGAGCTCTTGAGAGAAACAAGTCTATTTTATTCCTCTCTGTCCCCAGGGTAGCGTTCATCACATAATGCAGCCATCAGTCACCTGTTGAAGGGAGTTCTACAGACTAGCAGGTCTAGGGCTCTGGACATGGGAGAACCCTTCGAGTTTTTCACTCTTCCAAATTAATTTCTGTATCTCTTTTCAGAGCTGAGGGGAGCAGTAAAATCCAGGCCCGAATGGAACAGCAGCCTACTCGTCCCCCACAACCATCACAGCCCCCACCTCCGCCTCCTCCACCACCTATGCCATTCAGAGCCCCAACAAAGCCTCCGGTTGGACCTAAAACTTCTCCATTGAAAGATAATCCCTCACCTGAACCTCAGCTGGATGACATCAAAAGAGGTAGAGAGCATTTTTTGGAACCACAATAGCAACTTGGAGTAGAATGTTGATGTTCTTGTGGTGCTTGAGGTTCCGTGTTGACTTTGAGAGACAGGCATTCTCTGCCATCAAAAACAAATTCTGCAAAGTTTAGGGTTCCAGAGAAGCTGAGGGCAGGGAGTTTTGTCACTTCATTCGTCAGGGTTAGTCCAAGAATAATGACTTTAGTTATGACTATTCTTACAGTATTCTCCTTTGTTGTTGTTGTTGTTGTTGTTGAGTGTTGTGGAGTCGATTCTGACTCATAGAGACCCTGGATAGGGTTTCCAAGGAGTAGCTGGTGAGTTTGAACCGCCAACCCTGTGGTTCAAACCAAACTTGCGTTCTAGTGCTTTAACCCACAGCGCTGCACTAGGACCACACCAGGCCACACCAAGATTCTGCTTAGAAGCTGAAGTTAAACACGTATAATCTCATTTAAAGTTCAATAATGTATAACTTTAAGGCTTTGGAAAATGAAAGTATTCCAAGTGTGTGGGATGGGGATGGGCCTTCAAACAAGTGCTCTAGTGTTTCTGACTTCTACATTAGTACAGTGTCTAAGCCAGGGCACCACTTACAATACCATTAGTAAATGCTTGGTGCTGACATGAAGTATGTAGATATGAAAGTGGTCAAGGGCACTAGTAGAGTTAGATACTGGCCCAGAATGACCTGGAGGTTTGGTTGCACTTTCTCTGATGCAAACGTGAGACAAAGCAGCTTCCCTCAACTGTCTCCCCCATACAGAGGATGGGTGAGTGTTAGGGTATTATCAAAGAAGATGTCTTATTTCATGTTTGTAAGGTCTTATGAAACAAAGATGAAATCCAAAATTGCAATAGATCGGGGAAGACAAGCATACGTTGGAGATAATGTAAATTTGGTTCCAGGCCAACACGATAATATCAATATCACAAAACAGCACATCTAACAAGTTTCTTGATGTATTCTGGTGGTGGTGGTGGTGATGTGCCATGGAGTCAGTTCCGACTCATAGCGACCCTATACAGGGTTTCTGAGGCTATAAATCTTTATAGGAGCAGAAAGCCTCTTCTTTCTCCCACAGAACTGCTGGTAGTTTCGAACTGCTGACCATGAGATTAGCAGCCCAACTGATAACCACTCTGCTACCAGAGTTCCTTGATGTATCCTAATCACATGGAAATGGTTCACCTCTATAAGAAATGCAGTGCTTGCTGGGCACGGCTGTCAGGAAGGCATACCAACAGAGGAGTGAGGGGCTGCCATTTTTCCTGCTGGCTTTCATTTTGCCATGGAGACAGGAAAGTTGGAAGGGCCTCAGAACCCTGCTTACAGGAGATGGAGTGTGCGGCCTTCAGAGTGGCTGCTGTACTGATGTCTGTGTGTGTGGTTTTTCCCAGAGCTGAGGGCCGAAGTTGACATCATTGAGCAGATGAGCAGCAGTGGGAGCAGCTCCTCAGACTCTGAGAGCTCCTCAGGCAGCGATGACGACAGCTCCAGCAGTGGCGTTGAGGACAATGGCCCGGCATCCCCTCCACAGCCCTCCCACCAGCAGCCCTACAGCAGCAGGCCACCCATGGCCAACGGAACCAGCCGGCCACAAGGAAGCAACCAGCTCATGAACACCCTCAGTAAGTGTGTTCTGGTTTGATGGCCAGAACATAAAGGTTGACAGAGCCGGGCTCTTTGAATCTACAGTTACCACCAGAACTTGAGGGTGCTCCCTGCCGTCACATACTCCTCCCTCCCAGGTCCTTTGCACAATTCCAAGAGCTTACCGTCTCCAAACTTGGGAACCTGTGCCATTTGCATATATTTGGGGACTTAACTAGCCTCTCTGGCGTGGGAGAAACCTGAAACTACTGATGTCTGGAATCCTGATCGGTGTTCTCCCCTGTGTGACTTCTTTAGAGGAGGTTTGGCAGTAATGTAGGAAAGCTGACCTAGTGGATCCTACTGGTATTATAGACTAAGGTTTCCTAACCATGGGCATATTGAGTTGGATAATTCTTTCTCGCTCTTTGCATTGTCAAATGTTTCAGAGTCTCCCTAGCCTCTTACCCACCTGAGGCCAGTAGTATCATCCTCTCATTTGTGTCAATCAGAAATTATCTCGAGACATTGCAGAATGCCCCGTGAGGGGCACAGTCACCTCCATCTAAGAACCACTGCTCTAGTCTCTGTTCTACTAGAAGGACCTCAACACTGCTCCCAGATTCAGGGTGCATTTTGGTGCTCTTCTCAGTTGGCTGGAGATAGATAGTAAGTTTCATATTGTGAGATCGGTGGTTAGAATGGAAAATTTGCTTTTTACTTTTGTTTTAGGGTTGGAGATATTTTGAAAGTGATTTGCTTGACTTCCTAGCCCAGCTGATAGATACTAGCGGGAAACACAGTTGGAACAATGCCAGAGGCCTTAGGGCTTAGCTAAAGTAGTCCATACTCAATGATTCCTTCCCTTCTGAGCAGAAAGAGGAGAGTGTGGCACAATTGGGATGGTCTGCCTACCAGCACCTTAGTCACTTGGATTGCTTAACCCAGGATTTTCATCTGGAAAAAATTTGTAAACCCTAAAATAAATCACAGTATATTGCACAAATTTGGTAAACCCTTATGTGAAAGACAGAAGAATAATAGTGTTGTTAGTTGCTTTTTTACCCCTGCGTGGCAACCTGGATCAAAATCTTATCTTTCCAAAAAACCCAAATCAATTAATTTGGACTTGGGTCATATAAATTGTAATAAGACAATTCTAAGGGATTTTAAACCAGGGCTTCAAAACAGTTGATTCCAGTTCTACCCTGTACTGAGAATTTGCATTTTCACCTAGATAGACTGAATCAAAATCTACATTTTTAAGAAGATCCCCATATGATTCTTATGTGTACATTTTGACTTTCCCCATAATTAAGTCAGCAAGGCTTTTGTGTGTAGATAAGGCGAGCAGCCAGAGAGTTGTGGGGAAATCATGTGCTTTGGGCTTGATTCTCTTTTCTTTTTTAGGAAATGACTTGCAGTTGAGTGAATCTGGCAGTGACAGCGATGACTAGAGCTGGATCTTTCAAAATCTACTTTCTGGTGCACAAATACGCTGCAAACCTGGGCTGCTTTCGCACAGAGTCCATTGCCAAGAGGAAGACACTGTGGAGCAGTGACTATAGTAGACGTTTGAGGCTCTGGAGGTCTCAGATACTCAGTGCTTAACTTAGAGGCCACGGGTGATTTTCTCATGTACTTTTTCAACAGTCTCATCCAAGTTTAAGTAGCTCTGTAGGAGAACTAGCAGAATTATATTCTGATTTGGTTAACATTGTTCATCAAAACCACAGACAAATGTTACTCAGAGGCCCTGTCTTCACCAGGCCAGCAATTCTGTTTTCAACCTCAACAGCCACCACTTTGGCCAAGTGGTCTGCTCCAGTGAAATGAAACAACAGTTCTTGATATTTAGGGGAGGGAGAGAAACCTCAAGCTGCAGCAGAGAAGTATTTTTAAACCATTTAAAATTGTTGCCACAAAGTGGTAAGGAAGTTTTGCCTGAGCCTGCCTGACAATCCTGTGTATAACTGGACTTCAAGACTTAGTTCCAGAGTGTCAGCTGGCCAGAACCCTAGAACCCTGTTACTCCCACCCCCTCATTTACAAACAGGAAAGGGAAGCAGGTGCTTTCTAGCAGATCTGGCTTTCCCCATTACTCCCTAGAATTCCATACATTGGAACCTCAGATTCTTCTACATGGGACAAAAGTATCGGGTGCTTCCAGCTGGAATATAGATCTAGACAGCCCCTAAATGTCTGAGGCCGAGGGCGCAAATCAGACCAGCGGCCATTAGGTTGACTTCTGTGACTTGATTAAACTGAAGCTTTCTTTCCATATAGATCCATACTAAGTGTCCTTCATTCATTGGATTTTAGGGAGGGGAGCTGTAGTGAGGGTAAGAGAAGTGAAGTGAAGAATCCTCTCTGAACAAATGAACCAGCAGGAAGTTTCCAGACACCAGATCTACATAGGAGTTGTGCAGTATGAAATGAGCCATTCTTTGATAAGGTGTTTCTGTTCACGCTTTTGTTCCTGACCCCCAGACAAATTTGTGTTTTTATAGGCAACTAGAAGTCACAAGATACATCTTTTTTTTTTTTTTTTAAAATAAAAAATGATCACTTCTTTTGGCTGGCAGGGAACCCCCAGTTGCACTACTTTCTGCATTCTTTTTTAATACTTGATGATGGTGAGTCTCCCAATTCAAATTCTGGTATTTTCTTGGAAATTGTTTCATTTTTCTCTCTGGGAGGGTTTATTTTCATGTCCTTTTCAAGAAGTATAACACTGTTTCTGTCTGATAATGAAGCTGACTGCACCAGAAAGAAGGCAGGGCTATTTGTTAGCTCGTCTATAACTTCTTGTGGATCACCCTCTCTTCTACCATCAATTTGTCCATTACCTTGCTTAGGTGTATTCAAATTTTCTGGAGTTCCAGGAATTTGGTTCCTTGTTAAGAATGGGTTAAGAACTAGGGAATCAATCAATTCCTCCAGTTTGACTTATTTCCCTTCAGAGTGCTTAGGTGAATGAGATAACACTGCCCTAGCAACCTACAAGATGCATCTTTTGCAGTGTGCTGTTTCTGAATGAATCTGTTGCTGCCGGAATCTGGTCGGTAGTAAATGTTCCATATTGAGTGAAGGTGTGATGAATCATCCCATAATTAGTTTGGAGTAGCCAGTTTCTTTAGTCTGAATGATCATGTCTTGGAGTTTTTCTTGTCTACTTTGGTTCAGTGGACATCAAGACATTAAAAACTACTTTGTTTCCTTGGGTCCCTCCACTCAATGGCTCCTGCTTCCCAAGCTGTTGAGGGAAGAAGCATTCTGGGCTGAGGAAGAAAATCGATGGTGTGTGGTGGGGGCTTTGGTTAGAATTGCATTGTAGAGTGTTGACTCTGCTTCATACACTTAGCAACGGGCCCAAGTGGGGGTCAGAGGTACCTCTCTGTGGTGGGTTCTCAGCTCATCATGGGGTGTTCGTGAAGTTAATGGTAGGAACTTATTTATGATGTACTGATAATTGATTTATGATTCCTTAGTAATGATGATAGCTCAGGGAAGGTGAAGGTTGTGATTGGGAGACTTGAATTGTTACTGGATGTGGGATTTATTTCACTGCTCTTGCCCAAGTTTAGGGCAGGTGCTAGGAACTTGAACTGAAAATATTTATGGCCTTTCTTTGTTTTTATTTTCCTTTTCTCTCTCAAGTCTTGACTGATGTAGACAGGACTGTGCATGTTTGTTTGTATAGAAGAGCCTGTGCAGCACTGGGCTTGTCGAGGCAGATCGAGTTCAGCTCCTCTCCGCTCTCACCCATCTTTCCCGGCTGTGCGTGGCTCCCTGCACAGAGCTGCCCCCAGCATCAGCTTCACCACCACAGTAAGAAATCTCTTATTGGAAACGAAGAATTTGACCTCACAGACTATCTTCCATGAGTACCCTGTGCCGTCCAAACTGGTTGTCATCGTCTTTCTGTCCTGGACCTTCTTTCAGCCGTCTTCCTTCTCTTCCTCTCCCCTCCAAACTCCACTCTAGAGTTTCCATAGGTGCCACGCTCATGGATTCTCCCTCTGTTTCTTTCAGCCTACGTAGAGTGCCCTGTGTTGTGCACATCCTCTTGCTTGAGCTCCCTAAAAGCTGGAACTGTCATTCTTATCTCTATTCCAGAACCGGGGTGTCCACAGGAAGAGACATCCTGCTGCTTATAGTCTAGTGAGAGTGGGCAGAAAAAACTCACAGTGGAGTACAAAGGATAGACAGAGACAGAAAACATTCCTGGCATTTGGAGATCGCTAAACACTATCCATGTTGATTTTCACAATTTTGAAGTCTTTAAATGATTTATTAAAATTACCTTTTCCTTGCTCTATATAACACCTGCCATTCTGTGGTCATGTAGTCTGAATTGTCTAAAGAGCCTTGGCAAGCCAAAGCCACCTCAAAGACATGATTTGGGGAAACATACAAGTAAACTAGAGGTCTGTGATGATGCTACTTATTAACTCGTTTATTTTATGAAGCATTTTTTTCTATGTGTGGTGGGAATTTTCTGTGTGCTTTGATGGTGGGAAAAACTTGAAAATTCCAATATCCTTATTTCCCTATTTGAGAGACTGGTTCAGAAGGATGTGTGTATGTGTGGTGAGAGAGAGAGATGTATTTATGACATTGATTTTGAAAGAGAAATAGCTGTTATATGGACCTGTATTAGGTATAGCCAGATTGGATGTTTCCATTTGGTGAGGAAGGTAGGAATCCTGAAACTCAGGCCTTAACTAGTAGGTTGGAAGACCAGACCAATTGAAGCGTTACGTAATGTGTGTTTTTGTTGCTTCTGTTACTTCTGTCCTGGTTTTATTGTCTTATTCTTTAATGATTTTTAAATTTTTGTGCCTAAATGTTTATTTTTGCTTAATTATGAAGTAGACATGCATGTTTACATTTATGTAAAATATTTGCTGTGTAAAGTTTTTGTTGTTTTTTTTGGGGGGGGCGTGTTATTCTCTTAAAAAAGATCATTATATTTAAATAAAAAATGAAGGTCAGCAATACACTTAATGTCTTAGTGGTTCTTAGTTGCATAGTGTCACTAAAAATCAATTAAAAAAATCTTCAAAGAACCTTTTATCCATAAACCAGATTAACTGTCTGCATTGTTTTTATGGTGCAGTGTGTATAACCATTAAGAATGATTCTATTTTAAAAGGTGAAAAATGAAAAACTGATGGATGATTTCAGCAAGTCACATGGCACCTGAGGCCATTTTACTTGGTCTGGAAAGGCAGGTGAACTTTGGATCTGGGAACCCTGCAAGGGTTAAGCTGACTCCCAGCTGTATCTTAACCATTATCCTGGTGGTGGTGGTGTTAGTGCTGTTGAGTGGCTTCCAACACTCATCAACCGTGTATAAGGTTTCCAAGGAGCGGCTGGTGAACTTGAACCACTGACCTTGCAGTTCAAATCGATTTTGCAGTCCACCGCATTAACTTGCAGCACCGCTTGCCATCAAATAGATTCCAGCTCATCAGGACACCCTGCAGGGTTTTCAAGGCCAATCACCAGGCCTGTCTTACAAGATCCCTCTGGGTGGTTCAGAACTGCCATCCTTTTGGCTAGTAATCAAGTGCTTAACTGCCATCATCATAGCTCACCAAATTCCTTTCATTAGGAATATGCTCACACACATCCCTCTGACCCTTGATCAACCCTTGTGGACTGGAGGTGCCCCTGCTCCACCTGCACTGTGGATAGAGCAATGTTCACTTCTGCCTTTTGGCATTGGCCCCTGGCTAGACTGCAAACTCCTAACAAGTGACCTTGTTCTTTTATGTTTTAAGTTTGCTAGTGTCTTTTCACTTTGTGAGTGCTCAATAAATTTATTTTGAATAAAATTAGATGTTAATAGAACTAGGCCAGGAATAAGACTAGCCTGGTGTATCTTCTGCTGTTGACTCTGCAGGCGTGTTGCATTCTGTCAGGTGGCTGTGTGGGTTAGGCTTGAGTCAGGGGTCTCAGCTGGAAAGAGGTGGTGCATTCATTACCTAGGGAGTTTTACCCACTGTGTTAGCTGTCACCACCATCTTAAAATTCAATGGTGGGGATCCCTCATGACCAGCAGTTGAGTGAGGTTTAGCTGATCGTGGAGGGCTTGGCTGGGACTACAGGGGCACGTCAGTCAAACTCCCGGTGTCTCGCCCTCCAGCAGACTAGTCTGGACTTCTCTTGGCAAAGCAGAGATGCCATAACAAGAGTGAGAGCAATAGAAGTGTTTGCTAATTGCTGAGCTCCTACTGTCCAAAATTAGTCACAGAGCCTAATTTAGAATCAAGAGGTGGGGAAGTATTTACCAATAGATAGGAAAAGTTGCAAAGCTACATTGGAAAGGAGATGGATAGATGGATGTGTGAGAAATTGGCACTATTAATGTGATCCGTGTATTACATGCGCATACCTCATGCCTCTAACACATTAATGACACTGGGTCAAATCTGTAAGGCATCTCCAGACTCCAGCTACATAAATAAAAGTCCAGT